CGTGCTAACTCATTAATAAATATCTGGTGCGGCTACGACCTTTTGTTACAGTTGTTTTTTCTTTCCCTGGGAAAGTGTATGGATATTTCTCAAATGAAGTTTGTGTAAAGGTCCCTGTTCATAGAGGAAGGGAAGAAAAAAGGTTTCTTTCTAGCCCTTTGCAGTGTTGTAATTAGGAAATGGCATTCTTCCTGTTTTTTTTCCTGCTGAGGGATAAATTTGAGAGAAAAAAAAATCCTTGTTACTAATGAGAATTCAAAAATAGAGCTAATTATATTGGATAAGAGTGCAGAGTTTGCCAGGTCCTTCTCTAATGGAACTTTACATGCTTTTAATCTTGATGAAAGAGAATTTTCTAACAGATTTTGGCGCTGGCTGCATGTGCTTAGGGACATAAAAGAGGAAAGTCAGGGATTTCAGTGTTGCTTTTGTTTATGCAGAAAGACAATTTCATGTCCTCTTCACATTAGATATGCTTAATATTCCACATTATTTCAGGCCCATCATGATTTGGCAAAAAGCAATAAATACAGGGAATCACTTGTTTGCTTATTATTATATAGTTAAGACTGCTGAAATAATTACTATAAAATTTTGGAAAATGCTTACATAACAAAATTATTTTAAAGGACTGGTCAGAAAAAGAAGAATACTCGTCACAAATATTTATCTTGACTGACCTTCAGTTTCTTGCTGTGAAGCTGATGTCTGTAAGAGTATGCTGACACGTACAGTCAGAGTTTTGGTGATAACATTGTGAATGATGGATGCAGGATCTGAGTATATACCTCAGTTATATTTTGTGCTAGACACGTAAAGTGATTAGCTAGGAATATATATAGAGATAATAGTTTTCACATTCTTATTTATTGATTTTAGAAGAGCTGTGTGTTTGATCAATAATGTGGCCTTTAAATAGCAATTTAAATATTGGAATAACCACACAAATATTAGCAATCTCTTGCAATCAGATTAGTTAACACTTAAAACAGTGTACTTAAAGCTAAATAGAGCAGTGGCCATATTGCGTGTCAGTTTAGGTTTCTCCATAGAGTAACAATTCAGAATGAGTCCTATTTTTCTATAAACAGAAAAGTTAATGTTGTCAGAAACATTCTTGTGTGTTTTACAACTTTCCAGTATGCCCAAGCAGACTATTGCTGGTTTTAATACCCTCCAAAAATATATGATAGCAGCTTTCATGTTTATAAAAAAAAAAATCGATGCCAGTAAAAAAGATGTTGTTCGCTTGTTTTCTGTGTTAATTTTTTTGTGCTTTGCTTAACTAACAGCTTCAAATTTCTTCACAGCAAGAAATTCTTTATCAGTACCCCATATCAGAAGCATCCCAAAAACTGAAGAGTGTGAGAGGAATATTTCTCACACTGTGTGACATCCTGGAAAGTGTTACTGGTACCCAGATTATCAGGTAAAGCATTTTGAAATTAAATGTGTTTCTTCTTTTATGAATTTATCCATGTACAGAAAAATACACATAGGTTGTGCATATATTTCTAGACAAAACGAGTGAGTGTACCTGTTAGGCGCTAATGTTTTAACCAGAACAGCATGAGTTGGTCTGCTTGGATGTACAGTGCACATATATTGATTTTGTGGCATTTCCCTGTCAGAGGTGTCAGCAATTCAGTTTTTTAGTTTAGTGAGATTAATTTTCGATCCCTTCCTTAGATCTCTTTAAAAATGTCTATCTAAACTGGGATTCTGTGGTACTACAGCAGCCTGGAAATTCAACAGCAGCTTCATTCAAATTTAAAAAAAAAAAGAAAGATAAAATGTTATTCAGTTAATTTAAGGGGTGTCTGTTACTTTTGGATTCATTTTATTTCAAAATTAATTTGCAACACATGAAAAATATTTGTATCCACAGACCAGAACTCTAGTAAAAAATCTGATAAAAATGACTCCTGAGCTTTTTGCAACAGGGTAGGAATGGTGGAGACAGGTAAAGGGATTTTTGAATATTTAATAGTGGCTCATTTTCTGGTGCAATAGTTAGAAGTAAGACAGCAGGTATCGTTTTTCGGTTTCACACTTGATCCCACTGAGAATTAGTATGTCAGCTCAAAGCTCTTGGGAGTCTTGGGCAAGACTGCCACCCCCACGCCGCTGCCTTATGTGTCACCGACAAGTCCAGGGTTAGTATAAGGAAAGCTGAATGTAAGTGGGATTCTAGCCCATGAATGGAGAGTGCAGGCACTAGTGCCGTACAAACAGTGAACAGCATTGGCAATAGTAAGCAATGCCTCAAAAGGCAAAAAGCATGTTTAGTATGTTTAGATTAGGTTTTCCTCTGGTAAATTTATCCTTGTAAGGAGCTCTTGAAGTGCTTTGAATGTTTTTGTTTACCAGAAAGTTAATACTGGTTAACTTACTTTTGTTTTCATTTGCTTGTAATTGCTTCATTTATTCTTTTCCTTAGACTTGTTAGTGTCTTGGTATTTTGACTGAGAGGTTTTAACATTGTGTTTTAAGCATGCTTATAACTTTCCAGTTTATAAAAGTAAATGGATCTCCTTATACCTTCTAAGGTACATGCAGCCTTTTTACTTATCTTAGTGATCAATACAAATAGAGATTGACTGTGTCTTGTAGCAGCAGCTGTCAAACTCTGGTTTTTGATCTTTCGCTCATGCAGTGCCACATTAATTAGCACTTAGATATGTTTTTCCCCTCTTAAATACTTATATATTAATAACAAAATTCTCTCTCATCGAGGCATTTTTGGTCGTGTCCAGATTTTTTAAAAACATCTAGAGAACAAATCAACCTGTTTGTTGATGGTCTATACATACAGTATTGTCAGAAAGACAATACAGAAATCCATGGCAGCTTAAATCCACCTTTCCTATTAAGGTTCTCAATTTCCCATTTTTAGATGAGTTCTAAAAATATAAAAGCACTTCTGTTAGTCTCTGCGGACCGTCCCACCTCTTAAAAAAAACATAAGAAATACTCTCTAGCTCTCCTATTTCTCCTTTTTCTATGAAAAGAGTAAATTCTGATTACTGTATCTGCTCATGTATTGTGTACTGTTTTGAGATTAGGATTTTTATTTCTTTGTAGGTAATTGCGTTATGAGTATATAACCAGTTTTGTTTTGTAGGACAGCTGAAGGGTGAAAAATTTCTGGTGACCTGTTGAAATAGTAATGAATTTCATAATTAATGAAATGACATTATTATAACTTTGTTCAGTACCATCATTTTGCAGTACAAGAGTGAATCAGTGAAGCAATTTAATCATGGAAACAACCTAAATATTAAATTATTTGTTTTTTCAAGCTTGCACAAGTTATGCTTTTTTCACTTTGTGACAATTGTATCTTACATTGTTAATTTACTATGTCTGAGATCATAAAAGAACGGTGGGCAAAGTAATGCTTTGGTAATAACTTGCTAGGTATTCTGTGGTCTGTGAAACCATTAGCTCTAGGATGTTACACCCATTAAGTCTGTTTCCTGTTTCAGTCTCCCATCCTAGTAGTATCTTAACTTCTAACAAGCACCAATAAACTTATCTTTCATTCACAGAAATCCTAGGAGTCGGAGAGATATTATAATCTAACCTTAAAGATGGGGAACTGAGTTACAGAGTCTGTAAGTGACCTGTTCACAGTCACACAAGAAGTCTGTGCCACAGCCAGAAAATAAATTCAGACTCTAGTCCCAGCTGAGGACATAAACAAGATAGATTTCCTTCCTCACTTTAGACTTGTGAAAAATTTAGTGTTGGACGTATTTACCGATCTTTAAAATGACTTGCAGTTTTAGCAACAACGAGTAAATTCAATCTGATAATGTTGAACATAACATATGACTGCTGATAATTAGAAAATTGGGTCTCATTCTGTTGCATGTTCTAACCCATTCTGTGTTAAAATTAAGTTCTCTGTATCTTTCTGGGATTGATTAGCTCTGTGGAGCTATTTTTTATATGGGGAGATAGTATAGTAATTCAAGGTTATGTTTGTCACTCAGGTGATATGCTCAAATATCCCTTGGGCTTGTTTTCAAAACCTACTTGTAGGGTCTCTGAATCATTTTGTAAATGACCGCTATCTTCATCATCTTCATTAGGACCTGAAGTTAGCTCAGCTGGAGCTGAAATTACATTCATTTTCTATGTTAATTATGTTCAAGCTAGACAGGAACACCTTTAAAGAGCATCTTCTGAACCATTCAGAGGAATATTGCTGTTTAATCCTTTACATTTGTACTCCAAAATACTGTTAATACTGGTTTGGTCTTTCACTTGGAATAGAAATTAAGTCTTGAGCGTTTCTAGCAGTTTATCTTGGATGCTCTTTGAATTCTGTAATAATTAATGTATTACCTAGCCCAATTTCATGCGTGTTATTCTGCATGAGCGTAAGACTTCATATATAAAACACGTATGAATCGTTATGACTCATAAGGGTCATCTCTTATAACTTCATAGTGTTAACGGAAGTACTTATGGCTTAATTTTTCTAGTTCCTCCCTTTTCTTATGTGAAAAACTGGTTCAAGTTGTTTACTGGAAAGAATCTGACAAGTTGCTTGTAATTGGTCTTCCTGAAGAAAGGTGAGTTTCAGAAACGATGCTTTTTTTTCTCCCTTTAATTGATTTTTTTTTTCCTCCATTTTTACCAAATACTGTTCTCAAAGTGTACTACTGTTCTCCTATCAAAAAGTGAGAAAGGGAGGGCTTACAATGTACTCCCTTCACTCATAGCTGTGATCCCACTCGGTGTTGGTTAATTTTTTTGACTGACTCCGTTCACATCTTTCATGTATTCCTTTAATCTTATTAGATCTCAGAAATACATATAGGCTGGAGACTGGTAATTTTCAGTGTTTGAAGTCAGGTCCTGATTAGGTATTACTGAATAGCTGCAATAACATTGCATATCTGTGTGTCTGAGGAGGCAAGAACTCCTGAAATTTTATTTTCAGCTTTACTACTAATCTCTGTGCAATCATGGGCAAGTCACTCAAAGGGAATCTCTTACACAGCCCTGTAAAGTATTTTTTGCTTGCAGTGTATCACTAGGTAAGAATGCAGCTCTTCAAAAAATGCCTCTGCTAATTCGTTAGAGAGTTAAAGATGTTATAAACATAGATGTGCATTTTTTATTTTACTTTTGTTTAGTGTGCCACTTTCTCAGCTGAGGAACATGATTGCAGATGTTGTGAGGATCTTAAAATTTATGTACAGTTCTTTAGACAGGTGAGTTCTAAAGTGTTTTTCTTTCAGTCATTTATCTTTCATTGACGCTCACTCAAGAAGATGGTCAGCATCCATTTTTAACATTGACATGGATTTTTTTGCATGCTCCTTCACAGTTATGCAAAAACGGGAGTCTGTTGTTCTCGACTGTGTTTTATACTAGTAAGACTCTTGTAAACTGTCTTTGAGTGCCGCTTAAGAAAGTTTGTCCCTGATTAGGTTAAGTCATTTGCATAACTTAAGTCACTGCAGATGTCAATAGCACTCTGCAAATGTTACCCATTGTGTTAGAGGACTGTCTGTAGAACATACATATAAATCTCAGGGTTATATTTTTAATAAAATAAACACTCCAGAGTTCTCAACTTTATTTGGCAGAGTGACTGTCCTCCTCTGTGTTTGGAAATCATCCAGAAAATTCTCAGTCTGACTGTAATCTAAATAGTATCGCCAAGGTAGGCTATTCATATGCTTGCATTCAATTCAGGGTTAAAGTGTGTATGCTACAGAGAAAATCATAATATTTATATTACTTCCGTGCTGTTTAACAGAGAAAAATGTTATAGACAGAATAATCTCACATAACATCAGGCCTTATTTTTCTCTCGTGACATTTTTAATGTCATTTCACAACAAGGAGCAACTTCTATATGTTACACTGGCAATTATTTTAATGGATCTCAGAAAAAAATGCAGCTTTGAATATTTGATACAAATGCAGGAGGCCATTTACAATATCAGAATGCTTTTCCACATCTCCTGAAGAAAACACGAAGAGCGTTATGAAACAGTCCTCTGTAACACACCAGAAATAGTTAAATAAATGATTAAAATAAAAAGTGAGCTGGACTTCCCCTGGAAGAAGGCTAATGACTCGCTCATCTTCAGTTACTCTAAGACATCTACCACGATACTGTACTGCTTTTAGCAAGGCAGTTTTTGAATTTGCTTGTATGTATTGTCCTGGATGCTAGCCTGGTGGCTTTTCATGTTTAACAGTGGATGTTCAAAAAAAAATTCAAATGAAGTATCATGCTGTAAAGAGCCTGCTATAGCCCAGAGGGTTATATAAACAAGTTACAAGTTTCTTGATGTTATTCTAACTTGGAGTTCATGTTTGTTCAGTGCTTTTTGCCAGGTGGAAAATGTTTCTCGCCTGGATCATTTTTTCAACCTGTTCTTCCAGCGAGCACTTCAGCCTGCAAGACTCAATGCAAATGCCAGCCCCAGTGCTCAGCACTACGATACCTGCAGTGCTTTACTCTTAGACAGTCTCCCGGGCCTGCGCTGGCTGACGTTGCCTCAGGAGATCAAGGTAATCTCATTTTCAGGTCTCTTCAAGAATTATATGAGAAGCCAAACAAATCGACACAGATCTTACACATACCTTCTGCTGTTATTGTGTAATTTAAAAATAAGTGCTTTACCCGTCTGATGCCATCCATTTTCCTGTAAGATCCTTCTGTGGATTACGTTTGGAACTAGGCATTCATTTCCATAGGAAACATTCCCATGATGAGTGCAGGTTGGTGACTTCACTTGAGAGATATCTAGGAAGAGAACATGACCAAGGTTCGAAGCCTTCTCTTAAATAAAAACATCTTTAACAAGTAGCAAGTACAGTGGAGATAGCAATTTCTGGTATGTAGCTTTATGGTTGATTTTGACCATTTAAATATTTTCCCAGTAGAAAATACTACTCTAGAAGCCCAAGTGCAGCTTGTGATTTAGAAGAGTTATAAAAAGCTCTTGCAGAATCGAAAAAAAATTCCCATACAACATTTGTTTGGCACCATATAGGTACACCTCTTCTGCACCATTTGATTATGTCTCATTACTTCCCAAATAAAAATAGAGTTCGGCTTTAAGCAGTAGTAAGAGAAAAGCTAGATCACAGTAAGTAGCATATAGAGTTACAGAGAGCATAGAGCATATACAGTCTTAAAACTCAATTTTGTGAAATGAGTTTAAGAAATTTAAATAGGGATCGCTGGGTATTTATTAGTAAAGAAATATTTTTGAAATAAAAATAATAGATGCTGAATCCTTATATATACTGCGTAACCCCTTTCAGGTCTTCTGTGAAGTAGTTTTCCATATATACTATAGAATTGACTTTATTAGACAAAACTATATAAAGGTGGTATCTCTCCCAGTTGAAGCAATTGTAACCATTTTTGTACTATGGGAAATAATCTCAATTTCAACAGTGGAGTTGTTAAATCCAACAGAAATTCCATTTGATCAGATATTTATGGTATTATTTTGAATCACATTTTAAGTTATGCAAAATGAAAAATTTGTAAGAGGGGCTGCAGATAGAAAAGCTTTGGCTTAGTGGGTGGCAGATTCTGTAATGCTGTTCCAGCATGGTTTGGCTCTGCATGGATAAGCAAGTCCAAGCTGTGCTGTACAGTGTAGTTGGCAGACAAGCTTGTTATAATATCTTTTATCAACACAGTAAGTTCTGCACAGTGAACAGGACCCAGTCCTCAGAGGATGTAGGGGAAAACTTTTGTGAAATTACATTTAGGACAAAAGCTGCTAGTTGTGTCTTATGTCCAGAAACTTCCTCTGAAATGTTTTGTTTCTCTTACATTTTTCCTTGTTGTGTACACAGATCATCTTTCGCTCCCTCTTTTTTTAAAATCCTGTGGCTATTTTTTTGTTAATTATGGTGTCAAATGTATTCTTTAATAACACACCTTCATATGCATTTGTTTAGAAACAAACCAAAAAAAATTTTCCCTTACCCTTTCAAAGGACTACTAGTTTCCAACTTTTGTCTTGATGTTTTCATGTTGCAGTTGGTTATATACTGCCTTAATATCACTACATGAAGGTTATGTATTCCATATAAGGCACTGCTAGAACATGTTTTGATCTAACAGTAGGCTCAGATATATATGCTGGGTTTTGCTAGGTGCAGCTTGACTGTAGCTTTATTTTCATTTTTACTGAAAGTACACGACTTACTCTGTACTTTCAAGACATACAGATCATGAAGAAATGACTACTTTTAAGTGTCTCACCAAAAAAGACATTCTGGGACATGTGTGTGGCATAGAGCAGCTAAAAGCTCTTTCTTTGGCCAACCTACTCTTATTTTCTCTGTTTTCTCACATAAAAAACTATATTCATGGAAGATGGGTAAGGTCTGCTCACAGCAATAAAGTTAGGCTGTGATAAGTGATATGGTGGCAAGGTTCACCATAATCATAAAGCATTAACTATCACCCTATATTTTTTCCTCATCCGTCTTTGCGCAGTACAGTCTTTTAGCTATTGTTTTAAAATCTAATCTACCTTAACTCTAACCAAGAAGTTCAGTTACATAAGTGAGGCCTTCTCCAGTTAGCTGGAAATATTTTACTTCACTGATATTGTACAAATTTTATTTACTACATGGACAGTCAGATACCAAAGACTTTTAAATTGTCCTTACAGTGTTGAGAAGTTTTGTTGTGGTAGAACACATAATACAGTGTTAGGACAATGAAAACAATCCATTTCTGAACAAGCTATTTCATGGCAGGTTACCAACAATGAACTGAATAGAGAAGCAGCTAGTCTGAGTTTCGATATACAGTGCCTACCAGAACCTGTTTTTATAAAGGAGATGGTTCCAAAACCTACTTTGCTTTGATGGCATAAAGGCGTTCCAGTTCTGCCTCACTGGTCAGATTCAGATGTCATTAATTCCGCCTTATCGTAAGCATCCGTGGGCCCACTCTCTCCTAATAATGAACTATAGGTGCTTCCTACACCTGCAAAACCTTTATTAACCCCTCCAAATTGCTTTTAAGAAGCCCCTACCTCCCTGTTGACTAGGCTCAGTGGTTTAAGTTGACTGTAAGGTGTCAGAATATGGTTCCACTTCATTGTACATGACTCTTGGATAAGAATGTTTGCAGTTGTGTTACAATAAGTATAGCTTTGAAACACAGCTATTTTCCATTAACAAATTTAAACCAAAGCATACTATGGGTAGTAATAAATACATTCCTTTTCTGACCTGTGAAGTTTGCACGGTATGTCATATACTTTTTACAGTCTCATGTTTATTATATATTATGTGCGTACTTGCATATTACTGTTGACTAAAGAGGAAGATCTATTAGAAGTAAAAAATGAATTTTTCATTGGGGTGGATTTTTAACTGGACTTCCCCATCTCACTTAGCTTTAAACCATCTCTTTTTTTTTTTTTTTTAAGATGAGTAGTTGTGCATAGCATGAAACAATGAACACTGAAGAAGTACTGCTCCAGATGCATAGTGTTAGAAACATGTTCATTATCATGTCTCAGATTTGGCTTTTTTTTTTTTTTTATTCTCCCCACCACCACCACCACCTTTAACCAAGTCTTCATTTTGGTAAAGAAAACTGTAATCCAAGCTGATCCAAGTTCAGTGCAATGGTAGTAATAAAGCCCTTTATGGCTTTGAGGATGGTTTGTTCAACAATTATTTCCATTATCAAATAAATAGGTATTGCAAGCATCACTAACCCAGGCTACAGGCGACATATCGATTACTTGACTGGTTTGGAGCCTTACAGTTAACGTTATAATAGGAGCACCCTGAGAACCATTCTGTTTTATGCTCCCACGCTTTTTTATTATTTAAAAAATAGATTCTGATAACAGAATTTAAAAGCAATCTTCTTGTTGAAACACGTGGTCAGTTTATGAATGAATGTGAGTTCTGTCCCTTTTCCGAGGTACTACGTATAGCAAACCATTTGTTACAGGGAAAGAGAGACTCATTTGTTTCAACTGTGCAACAGGAAGCAGACCCGTAGAGGTTCTTTGGAGTATGAATTAAATTAGCTCCTCCCAAATGCAGCTCATAACTTGCAGTGTTAATAGGGCTACATGTAACAAGTGATGGCTGTCGTTCCTTCTAATAGTCAGATCTATTATGACTTTAATCTGTATCTGGGTACTAGCTGGAAGCACAAAATCTGATGTGGCGATGAGAAAGACCGGTTTCTACAACAGACTGCTTGTTTTCCAGGAGGCTGTTAAAGGTAGTTTTGGAGATGGTTTATACATAATTATGTAAAATAATTCTAGTTCTGAATTTATAAGACCTTTGGCTCCCTTAGCATCCTACAGAACGCAGCTGTCTTTTGGAAGTCTCTTGTTTGCTCTGGATCAAATTATCCGGTCAGCAATTTCATAATGATAATAAATCTATTAATATACTAGAAGATAATTTCAAAAAACTGAGGATTTTATTTACCTCAGGCGTAGCTCTAGTATTCCTCTTCAGTTGTTTCTAAAGGGACATTATTTCTTAACCATTCTGGAGTTTTTTTAGAATCGGTTTAAACATCCATACGTTCCAAGCACCTGCTTTTTGTTTTGATAGAGCGTGAAGACTTGGGGTAGCGTCAGTCTCACCTTGTTTTAGATTTATGATACAAACGGCTACAGTTGAGCTACTAATCCTAAACTCTTCCTGTTAGTAGATGGGGGGGAATTTGGCATCTGATTTATTTTAGTAGTAACAGGTCTGATCTACTTCAGATGTTTACGTTAGTGTTAGATGAATCATCCTTAGACCTCCTGTGACAGCATTGACGTCATCTGCGTTAACGATGAAGACAGCCTGGAGGGAAAGAACTAGCTCAAACAGAGATCTCTACACTGTAGGTGTTTAAATGCCGTCTCACTCAAGGAATTGAATATATGACTGTCTAAGTAGCTAATTATTGTCTAAGTCAACTGGCCTTTAATGAGACATGTATTTAAAAATGGTTTTATTCAGAGCATTTATTTAACACGCAACATAAAAACGGTAATCTCTATCTAGTCAGGTTCCCACTGAGAAGATAATCATCCATAGAACGCATGTTCTGAAATTGCACTGTGGTAATACTTTATATATTGTCCTTGACTCAAGAAGTGTTACATACCAGTCACTTCAGTACGCTACAGTGGACCTCCTGGATACTCAGTCATTTCACTTCAGGGCCTAGAGTGGATGAATACTAACATTCAGAAATGTTCACTGCATTTTCATTTTCTGTTCTCTTGAACACTACTAATTCTAGGATTCATGTTGCTTTCGTGATACTTAAATATTTTCAACTCTGCAATTAAGAATTATTTAGAATTATTAAGAATTATTTTCTACCTCATCTGAAGAGTTGTTTGAATATTGTATTTACAAGTTAGTGAATGTGTATGGCAATTTTTACAAAAATTCAGGGCAAAAAATATCATTAATCTGGAATTATGTTTTAAATATGTTAGCCTTATCATAATAGAGTTTGGTTTTTAGTGACTATTTGCCATTGTTTAATGCAAACGAAATAGCTGAGAAATCTCAAACTGAGAAATTTTCTTTTATGGAAGGACCCAAAATACTTGTAAGCTTGTAGATTTGCAGTTTTAATTCCTAGACAATGATAGTAATCTGAGCTGACCGTTACCCAAACTTATCTCATCAGCAACCACAAAAGAAACAAAGGTTGTACTTACTGCATATAACGAGGTTATGCAATGGAAAATTAAAACTGCTTCTCAGCATGCTACAAAGAGACTGACCTGAGGTGTTCAAATGTCCTTAACTCTGCAGTGGCATACTCTTTAATTTATAGGGTCTTTACTCGAGGATAATCTTAGCTAAGGCTTTCCTGGTTTTCCAATACTTACGTTTAATGAGAAAGATCTCGTATAATTTCCATACACATGTATGGAAGGGATGAAGTGGTAGGTCTTTCAACCTTAATACTGACACGGTTTGCATAATTATGTCAGATTCATTATTGTTCAATAATAAAAGTTGCTGTGGACATTGCAAGGCACGTATCAATGAACTGTCATTCATTTCTTAACAGATTTCCATGCGTAGGTGAGGCCTTCTGTCTCCTTTCTTCATAATATGAATTTTCTTCTCCTATATCTTTAATAGTAGACCTATAACAACAATTACGTTCTTTCCACCTTGCCCCATTGCATGTATCTAGATAGAGTTTTGATAAATACGCTTGAGGCTGATGTTTGGGGACTTTTAGTCAGACTTCTGCTTTTATAGTATGTATGTATGGACACTCTGTTTGTTACACATGTTTTGGCTAAGTACGTATTTTTTAAGTGTCTCAGAAAAGTTTCTTTCGTGTCCTAACTCCAGACCTAAATCTGCCAACCACATGAAAAAACTAGAGGGTTACACATACTCCTGTCCATGACCATCCACTCACTTGCAAAATCCATGCCCCTGTAACTAAAGGGAATAAAATGATTATGCAACATGTAGTTGCAGAACATGGTCAGCCAGCAATCTGATATGTGTTTCAAATGTAACTTAGTGCATCTCTAACTATTGTCGCGTATTTTTTCCTGTCCAGGAAATAACACTTTTTTTTTTCTTGTACTAGTTGGTGATGAATCTTTTTTCCTGCGTGCTTTTTTCTTTTTTTCTCTCTCAAGTTTCTGTAGACAGACTCTGTGCTACACTTCATTTCTCTGTTTTACCTTGCAAGTTGTTTTCTTCCTTGTGAAATGTGAGGTTTTGGAGGGATTTTTAAAAAATTTCTTTTCTATCTGTGATTTGGACATATATTTCTAAAATCATCTTAGTTCATCCACAGTTTCCAGAAAACTTCTGTTCTTGCAGAATATGAAATTTCCGGTAGATAAGTTTTGGTGAAGATGTTTACATGGTATAAAAATAAGAACATCATTTCTTTCTTGGATGGAAAGCCATTTCAATCTTAACGGGGGGAAAAGCTGACAGTTTGGTTAGTTGTTGACTGCCAACAGGGTAGCTGACGTTTCTCTGCGTTTGAAAAATTGCCTGTATTTCGGTTAGAGGCAGCTTGTTTACATAGCCCCAAAAGTGCGTCATGGTGGATTGTAAGTTCTTTTCATTAAGTAGCACATTTATGTCATGAACTTCAGTGGCAAGTACTGTGTTCTTTAAAGGATGGTATTTTTAGTAAAACTTACATTAACCAACAGCTCCTGTAGCTAAAGAAATACGCAAGTTTAAAGCTGTTTCAGCAGAACAAAGGTAATGTGTGAGAAAGTCTAGGGAATTTCCATAGAGATAAAAACTAAATCCATCATGAAAAAGATTTTTCTAATAACGCAGTTGGATACGAAAGTTTGCCGGATTTCAGGGTTGTCTCTAGCCTTCAAAGCGTAGTCTCTAGCCTTCATGTTTTAATACAGGCCAAAAGGAAGACTGACATGTCCTTTGTACAGAACAGTGGGTTCAGGAGGCAGACAAGCACAGAGATTTTACAGTTTCAAAGAAGAGGGAAATACACAGGAATTGAAAAAGATTTGTCTTTAGTCTGATGAATTGAGGTATTCTTGATGTTCGATATTGCTAGTGAAAAATATACGCATTTTTTACCATTCACTCTGTACTTCTGAACCGTAATCTTGTAAGACTAGCGATTTAAAGAGAGCTATGCTACTATTGTAAGTAAATGTCTTGGAAATTTCTATTAAAATGTACTCTTTAAATATTTCAGATGGAAATTGACACAGCCCTGAGTGATCTGGAAGCAGCTGATTTTGCAGAGCTGGTAAATGTTTTTCTTTTCTTTTTTTGTTTGTTCGTTCGTTTGCAGCGCACAGAATCTATTTGCTTTGGTCATAATCAGTAGTTTAAAAAAGCCCTAGTTCCAAATCCATCCACTTCTTTAATCAAGTGGAAGTCAAAGCAAAGATGTACTATGTTATTCTTGTTTTAAAGGTATCTCAATCCTACTCACTCTGTTTAACCTGAATTTCCCTCTGTGCTTAACATTGTAACTGTATTATAATGCTATAGAATTAGTCACTGAAAAGCTTTGGTCTACTATAATTCAAGCCCGTGGGATGTCCAGCTTAGTTAACAGGACACCGTCATTTGAACATACCTGTTGTTTGTTGTTGCTTTCTTTTTAATTAATAACCTATATAGATAACTCTCCTTTTCAAGCCACTGCAAATACAACTGAAAACTGCTGTGGAGCACTACGAACTAAACTTACCAGTTTTAAGAAAGCAATTACAAGTTATACATATCCTAACAGTATTAAGGAGAAGACAGTAGTTAATACTTGAGTTTCACTTGCTGTGCCTGTCCTTTACTGTGCTGTAGAGGAAGGGAAGACATAAAGGTATTGACATTTCCAAGTTTCCTTTTTTACAAAAAAGATTTCTTAAGCTAATGTTCCAGAACCATTATTTTAAATTTATGTTATTGCAGGTATGTTATACTCAGACACAAAGAAAATATGTTTAATCACATATTTAGCATAAAAATGTGGGCAAACATATTCTTAATTACTGAAAGATACTTAAATTCTGAATACAAGGTAGGCAGACATATAATCCATCTTGTTGAACTGCTACATATGTCTTAAAGGGTCACAGCAAAGAAAAATCACTTTATTAAACAAACTGGGTGAATGTTTACAGAAAGTGATGTCTGCAAGTAGTATTTTATTACACTTGATTACAATTGATTGCACCCACTTAGTTTAAAATACATAATATCCACCTAAAGTTAGTGTTACGAGCACTGGGCATCTAAATTAAAAGATTAATGAATAGGTGTATTTTGGGAAACAGTTCAAATATTGAAAAAAAAAAAAAAAAAAAAAAGGCTTTGGCTTGGAAGTTTTGCTCTGATGAGAGAGCCCTCTGGTGTCAACAGTTATGCTTCATCTGCTGCACTGTTAGGAACTTTGAGAATTAGCTTATCCTACTAAAATAATTTCTGGAAACATAAGAACTTAGGAAACCTGAGCGTTGGTATTCTAAGCTGAAAACTGTTGGACAAAATGGTAGTTTTTTGTATTGATGAAAATCAATAACGAAAGCTAAAAGCTTCATACATAATACTTAACTGTTTGTTCACAGTCTGAAGATTACTACGACATGAGAAGATTGTATATGATTTTGGGTTCCTGTCTCTTCTACAAGGTAATATTATTGATTAAGACCTAGAGGCTAGGAAAATACAACACCTGGAAATCTAACTCCGTCGTGGATTAACTCTTTGCAGAACGTGATAAATATGAAACATGTAAGATTGCTTTAAATATGTAATGTTTGAAACAGACCTAAAACTCAAACATCGTAACGAAGTAAAATACGTGATGTCGTGAAGTGATATGTACTATGTGATCAGTAAGAACAAAATGCTTGTTTGAAATTGTGTTATGGAAATTTTGCTGTATATGACTCAAAGATTGAAGAGAGACCGTAAAGAGAGATGAATGAATCGATTCAAATGAGACTATATGATAGTCTAATAGCACTGCTTTCGCTTGTTGCTATTATTTAAAAAATACAACAGGTGGTCTGTCTTCAGTCTGTCTTTAATCACAGACTTGAGAAACTGGATTAACAGCCTTTTCACTTTGGCCTCATTGGTATTTGTAATTTTTTTTTAAATACGGCAGTGTGGAAAAAGATGAAGATACAGCCTTTGCTTTAAGAAAATTTACATTTTAAGGGTTCTTTCATGCAAGCCAGTAGTGCTAGGGGACTAAACTGTCAGCATAAGTGTAGTTGCACAGTATCTGCAATAGCATTGCTTTAACTGTAATCCCATCAGTGCTAGAAACACTGCTGTACTACAAAACTTCTTTGGAAAGTTTATTAATTCCAGTTAGAGCTCAGTATTCTGGTAGGCAGGAAATGAGACTTAAACCACCTTAACTCTGTAGCTAGTTTTGTTAGTAGCTGTTTTGCAAGCTGTTGAAGCCATACATTTCCCAGTTTGTCTTTGTTGATGCTTTAATTTTGTTTATATTTCAGTATTTAGATTCTTCAGACGTGGTCTCTGTTGTACAATCATATACCAAAAAGATAGTTCCTAGCCAGAAAGCATATAATCTCAATGCATGTAGAGCACAGATATCTCCAGATGAAAAGTACTCTTAAGTGATGTGGTGGTGTTGTATTTCTTACTGAATACACTTCCTTTTCTGTGTTTAATTAAGGGTTACTTGATTGGTAATCACTTGCCAAAGGAAGATCTTATTGATATAGGTTTATATTGTCGGCACTATTGTCTGTTACCCTTGGCAGCAGAACAGAAGATTGGTCAGTTAGTGATATGGCGGGAAGTATTTCCACATCATCATTTGCAGCCATGTGATGCTTCAAGTCTCATAGGATACAGGGAACCTGAAGCGAGATACTTTTTATTGATAGTTGGCTTGGTAAGTTAATGTTTCCAGCAAGCCCCATCTCTGATGTTCTGTTTTGCTGTTGTGTATTGTCTGTTGTTCAGTATGATCATATAGTACCGTGCGTTAATTCAGTGATTTTACATAATCTCTTTATTGTAGCTGTTTCATGGGACAGCATTTCTCAGGGAACCGAATTATGTAAATAACGGTTGTAAAACTTGCAAGTTTAATTATAAATTCTCGTTATTTCTATGTTGTTTTATTTCAGTTGCAAATGTTTTTACTTTTATAATCTTATGTTTTCACACAATTCTTTCAAGAAATGTGTTTTTTAAAACAAATAATGAATATGGAAATGATGTTTGCCTTGTAACTTGGTTAACATGGTAACAGCAAGATTTCCTTGGACATGATTTTGGTTTTAAAAAAAAAACAACAACAATAAAACCCACTGTGCGGGTGAGGAGGAAGAACATAAGCTGTTGAACATAGTCCTGTATTCTGCCCAAATATCTGATGAGATGTAAATCTAATTGCAGTACATATATTTTAAACCAAAAGCTAATATTCCTACCTCCATGTTTACAGAGACACTTCATGCTGTGTGTTCTCCTGGAGGCAGGCGGCTGTGCATCGAAAGCCATTGGGAATCCAGGACCAGACTGCATTTATGTAGATCAAGTCAAAGCCACAATACTTCAGCTGGAAGGAACAGAGGCCAGCATAGAGGAAAGGCTGGATTCTCCCTCCATTCCACCTTTATCTTGTGCCGACTGGTTCCTTCCTGCAGCACGTGACAAAATAGAGAGCTTGACAACCTCACCCATCCTAAGCAGGCTACAAAGTTCTTCCAAAACAGTAACTGCTCCAGAAAGCAAAAGGACCCTGTTTGGTGACTCTTCCTTAAGTACGCGTAAGCCGAGTCCTACAAGAACCATTGGGGGACCTAACCATGGTAATGAAGGCCCTGCAGAAGATGGAAGCAGTAATCCACAGTCTGTATCAGATCAGGTCTGAGAACAGGGACAAAGAGAACTGTAACATTCTGGTGGGCCTGAGGGGAGGTGGTAATTTATTTACGGTATACTATTATTAGTTATTATTTAGACATTTAATAACTAATTTTTATGGAAAAGCATAGCTTAAAAAAATCTCAGAGGCCTTGAAGTCAGTAGAGAAGACTTTTCTTGACTTGTGTAAGTTCTGGGTCAGCCTCACAGTCATCACATTTCTTTTATCTTGATTATCTTTCCTTCTAAGTATTTGGTTTGTGGATAACTAAATTAGGCATTGCCATGTTGCAAACAGCAGAAGTCAATGGAGAATATCCCCAAAATAACAGCATAAACAGAAGTGATCAGGGTAACTTGCTGTACAGTTGTACAACTGCTGCTGATCCATTTTAGCCCAAAATAGAATACAGGCTATAAAATACATTTATACAAGTTGATGCAACTGTTTGGGCATTTTTTAAAACACAACATTATTTTCTTTTAAATAGCTGATTTGTTGGTTTGATTTTATTTTTTCACTCGCTGTGCCTTCTCTGTTAGTTCATCTGTCTATTTGTTTTTCAGATCTCTAAGAAAAAACACACGCTACCAAATCCGTTTCATATAGGAAACCTTAAAAAGAACCTTTCAGAGAGAGATGCACAACTTTATAACACTATCAAGTAAGAATTTATGTTGTATTAAGTATTTCATTTTTAAGGCCATATTCATGTGTGATCTGTCTGTCTTTGAAAAAAGCATTAAGTTCTTGCATAATTTTAACCAAACCAAAAATTTCTTATGCACGGCTTCTGAAAAGTAGTGAAGCTCTTAAATGGAGAGAGTTAATTAGAAAAGAAGGCTGTTGTCTCAAGAGTATGTCACTGCAATGTATGCATGTTCCACATACATAACCTTTGAACTTCAAATGAATGAGTCTGCTGGGACCGCAGATATGCCTTGCGCCTCTTTGTACCTCTAGGCAGGTGTGCAAAAGACAAAAGAGCCATGGCCGTCCTAGTTCCCTCTCCTTGCTTCTGACAGCACAGACAGCTTTGGTGTTTTGTTTGCGCTCCAAATCAAGCCTTCCTTCCCTCCCCAGGCTTTTATTTCTCCTTTGCTTTTCCTTTTTTGATGAGAATTGTTGGAAATGTAAGTGCAATATCTAACTAGTACCATACTAACTTTTTAAAAAACTTGTGAGTATTAACAGTCCAAATCAGCAGGATTTCCTTGGTATAGCAGTAGGCGCTTTTACAATGTCTGTATCCATTTTTGTACTCTATTGTAGCTACCACAGAAACAATTCTGTTTTAAGAAACACAAGTAGATGTTGTGTAACTGAAACATCATTCAAAATTAATTGAATATTAAATGAATTTTCCTGTTTTTGAAGGTTGACTTCTGGTCCTGAGAATACCCTCTTCCACTATCTATTTTTGGAAACAATGCAAGGAATCTTTATTACTCCAACTCACCAAGAAGTAGCGCAGCTCGGAGGCTCCCTCCACCCTCAGTTAATCAAGAATTTCCATCGTTGCTGTCTTTCAATTCGTTCTGTTTTCCAGCAGTCCATAAAGAAAGAAGTATGAAAACTTGATCTTTCTTCTATTTTTCTCTCTACTTATATTCTCAACTCAGTACTTCAAGATTGTTTTCACTTCATTATTTAAATAGTCCGCTAGCAGGAGAGACTTTGTGTGTGTGTCTGTAGTTGTTTCAAGTACCTAGTATTTTTACTCTTAAGGGCAAGTTCTCTCTGTGATTGTCCAACCAAGCAGGCATGCAATAAAGTCCTCTCCTTCCCTCGGAAAGTGCTCTCAAAATAAATATGCTACGTATCTAGCGTAGCATTTTCTTTTTTCATTTGATGTTAGGACTCTTGCTTGTAACTGAGCAAAAAGTCTCACCAACTGTGTTCAAGAATTATAAGAAATGGCAAAAGAGGGGTTTCCTAGCCATCTGAATGCTTTTGGGAGATTTCATATTGGCACCAAGGGAAATTTAAGCCCTACATTTTCCACAGAAATTATTTCACATGGGCAGTGACAGTGCAGTTTCCCCTCACTGCCCTGTCTGTGTCTGAACAATCACCTGAAGAGGGCATCTCTGCAGGGCAGAGGGCAGTTCATTCTAAGACCGCTTACACATCTTCCATCTGCTTATATTTGTGATAGTTTGTTCACGTGGATATTCGTCTGGCAGAAGACTGGCCGTAACGCTCAAATACTTTTAACTGCGCCGCCAAATAATCTCTTTGGATCGTAGAGTAGGTGGCTTGGCAGAATACTGTACCTCAGTAGCAGCCCTAAGCTGCAGGGTTTCTGCCAATAGTACAATGACTGCTGATTTTGAGGAATGGGAAAAACCGATACAAATCGAATAAATGCCATTTGCAAATACCAGAATACTTTTTCTTCATATTTCCTTGAGGTTATCAAAAAAGTCACTTCTGATTAGACTGATGTGCCTCATAAATCATCTAGGATTTTTAAGTCTTTGAAAAACAGGTTAATATAGTGGATCGTTCTGTCGGCTTCACGTGACACTGAGGTTCGGCTGAGTGGGATTTTGACAGTCGTGTATTTTGGGCACTTCTGTCGGGAGATATAAAAACTCGAAAGCAAGCGGAGGCACAAATGGTCAAACTGCCTTTGGTAACAATTGTTAAGGAGAGTTTTTTTCAATTTTTGGTTCAAACCAAAAATACCCAAATAAAGAAACCATTCATGTGTACCAGGTGTAACTAACAGAAAGTGAAAACTCATGCTTGAAAATGAAAACTTCTGTTTGGGCCACAGCTACCTCAGTATGTGCTTTTCCTGTCTCTTTAGGCGTGTGTCAGTACAGTAGGTAGCTGCTGAGTTCATTCTGCCCTGAAGGTCAAAAATAATTCATGAATATATGCTGCAGTATGAAGTTTTTCTTGCAGAGCAGAATCTAAGATTCCTATGTAAGCCAGCTTGGTAACAATGGGAATTGGGAGTGTTTTGACTCAAGAAACCTCGGTAGTTTTTGCGAGTTTGCTCCAACGATTAATGCTGATACTGCCAGCTTACATTAGGGCATGAGAGCAATGCAAAAGAAGAAATAGAGGTTTTCCTTATTCATAGCGCATGACAAATAAAAGTCAAACACAGAAATGTATTATCATATTGCTTTTTCCTTTGAGATCAGTTACATATTGCTGTAGATTTGGACTTAGAGAATTGTACAGATAGTGCAAAATGATTGCAATTAAACTGATCAATAATCAGTTTTGGGTCACTTTGGGGGAACTGAAAATTCACTACCTTTTAATTAACTTCTGAATGTGTTTGAATAAATTTGAAATTGAGCAAAAATAAGCTCTGGAGTCTTAAACCCTAAAATATACTTCACTGTACGTAATAGGTAGTTCTGGCCTCATTTTCTTAATCATCTTAAATTAAATGCTCTCTTACTCTAAGAAAAAGCTGAAGGAAAGAAATTTTAATGCAAGTGAAAAGTGCAGGACAAAATCACCCTTACAGCTGTCTCACGTAGCCCCCTCCTAACGTACATGTTTTCTGTACTTTTCTTGAGTATTTTTGGTATGAACAGTGCAGTGTAAGACATTTCGTAATATGATTGTACAAATGTCAACTCGGAAATTGCATGAGAAAAGTACACCATTTTCAGAGGAGGGAGAAAATACTAGACTGAGTACTGACATATTCCTTAAGTCTTTTCAGTAGCGACATGGGCAAGCACAGGGTTTGAGACAATTTTATATACTAAGAGAAGAAGATACAGGAAGGGTTAAGTCATCTACTGTTAAATTTGTTCTACTGTATAAACTAGTAGTAATTCAGAATATGCTTTATCAATTTATTCCAAAGCATGTTGAGGGAAATTAAAAGACGCTTTCTCACGCAAATATTAGGAGTTTCGTTTTTAAAAGTGCTGAGGGGCATTTCACTTTTTTCCTGCCCTTTCCTGATAGACGTTAGATAGTTGCTGTGATGTCTTCCACTACCTTTTCTCTTCTAGACCTTTAGCCCCAGAATCTTCGTTATAGGCAGAAGTGGTTTCTGCTTCTGCATATGGCAGGCAGAAGTTCCTTGAGATTTGTTTTCAAGAAAACCTTTTCTTTCACCTTTGAAGTAAGTGATTGGAACAAAAATTTCATTGGCAGGATTGCAGTGGATTCCCTGGCTTAACAAACTTCTCTTTTACATTGCTAGAGATTTGAGACAGATTTGTTTCAAACTCCTGTTTCTATAATGTCATTACACCTCTCATGCTTCCAAAAATAAAAAATAAAAAATAAAGCTTGGTTTTCCATTATTATGTAGATACATGTTTACTAAAGAGTAATAAAATTCCTTTGAGGTTAGCAGGAGAAGATTTAGACAAATGGAGAACCCTTTTGAAATTCCCCCAGTTTCTGCCTCTGTGTCCATTCTGCTCTCTTTGCCCTGTCTTTCTTGCAAAAGACCACGGTGGCTTTATTGGACTCTCAGGACTGTTGAGCACCCAGACAGAGCCAAGAGACAAAAGCAGTTTTTGTGCATGTAATTTAATCCTCACCAAGTGGGGACCAGTTCAGCTAGAAACACCTGAAATTTTTTACAAGGTTCATTCAAAAGCGCTGTACAAAGCATAGCCCTGTAAGCTCAATGAAACATACAAATACATTTTTTTGTATGTGCTACGTACCCATATTGAATAAGGGCAAGAAACGCTCTCAGCAAAATACAATTGTTTATTCAAAAAAAGAAATTCCTGCCTGACCAAGTTTATTCAACAGGCTTTTACTAACACAGTTCTTCTTAACTAGGGAGGCAAGGAGAGAAAAAAGGGAGGGGACAGTTTTAGCTGCTGTAACACACTTTGTTTCTTAATGGGGCTGAATTATCTCAGATGTATTATTAAAGAGAATGGTATTCAGCATGAAGGAAAAAAATCAAAAAAGGGAGCATGTGTCTATCTCTAAGTTGTATAACAGTGAGCAAGCCTGTTGATAGCAAACTTACAAAACTGTGGAGAAAAGAGTCGTATGTAAGCAAATTAGTTATGTCTTTTAAACCTGGCTTTTTGACAGCAAGATCATTCAACAGAGATTCCTTGAAGACATCATATTGTAGTTACATTTGCTGGTATTTGGATCCAAATATTTCATTCCATACTGACACTTCACCTATTGTTTTACAGAAAAAGAAAAAAGCAGGCAGTAGGATTTCAGAATTCAGTACGGCCGCTGCAGATCTAGATGTAGTAAAAGAACATGGTGTTTTGTTTGAGTGCTCTCCTGATAACTGGAATGATCACAAGAAACCACCACCAACAATGAGTTACTGGGTTGTAGGGTAAGTTTAAAGACAGATGTATCTTTCTCCCACGGTGTTCTACTTTGAATATGCCACTGCACTATTCAAGAATAAATTTAACTGTAGCACATCATAGAAACGTTTGAGCTGATTCTGACTAAGGTAGCTTTGCTCTGGAATCTGGGAAGTTGTATCGGGTAGTTCTAGGAATCTCTATCTGGACAGTTTTATCTGCGTAGTTCCACCTGCTGTAAGACGTAGCGTAAGTCAACGCAGGTGAGCTCGTGCTAATGTCTTAACTACCACAAAGACCTCACGCTCTGTACAGCAGGCCACTGCGCTGGGCTGCGTAGACTTACTAAAGCACTGGAATCTTCCCCTAATACCCTGTGCTTTCTTTGTGTTCCTCACAGTCGTTCTGAACTCTCCACTCTCTGCTTTGCAAGTAGATCCCCTCTGTCTCGCTCCCGTGCGTAATGCTGATGCAGTGATATGAACGAGGAAGGGAATGCACGTAGTTCAGAAAAAAAGAAACAGAAGTGAACGATTGCAGTTGTTTTTTAATGGGGAAGACCAAATCAATCTACCAGTCCATCTGAGACAATCGGGAAAGAAAACTTACTTTCCTCAATTTGCTTTCAAATATATATATATATATATATATATGAAATTAAGTTCTCCTGCTATCATTGCAAATTGATAATGATTTTTCCTTTGTGTTATTACTTAAACTTAATTAAGTGATTTTTCGTAATGGTGTGTATAGGCCTTGCTACATAGCTAACTAAGGCTAATTTATATGACAGAACAGCATACTGCCCTGTGTATTAAATATTAAAAATAATAATTTTAAAAATAATACATTCTAATGGGAGAATAACCTACATCATCACTTGACCCTTCAGAGCGTAAAAAATCTTGCAATTATTTAAGTCAAGGCCAGTAAGCTATATTCCATAGCTACCATTTGTCATTGGCATTGTTTCCCCGTTCTACCTACCACATTTTGTACTGTCTACATTTTAGCTCCATTAAGCAGATATTCATACCATAATTAGGCGATCAACAGGATTTTTCCTTCTTTTGTGCATTCACTGTCTGTCTTTGAAAGTATTCCTACTAGATGAACAGAAAGAAAAATGCAAATGTTTGATTAGGCAGAAGCTGTTTTCGCCTTCCGAAAAACAAATTCAGTTTGGGCAAGGGGTGGAAGGAAGATAAATGATTATGTTTGACAGATGCATTAAATTATTATTATTAACTAGTGAAACTATTAACCAAATAGGAAAGTCCTTGAAATCAGCAAAATACATTTCTGAATATGGCCTAAGAACTTTTTTCTAATACAGTGAGAGGAAATGTCATCCACAGATAATGATATTGGCCAGGAATAATCATTTAAATTGTGTCTCTAACAGAGCTTTTGTTCAACCCGCGTGCCTTCAAGTCAGATGTTTAGGAAAACAAAAAACCACATGCGCGCGCATGCACGCACACACACGCTTGCATCCCACTGGGGATAAATGAATGGACATAATTATACTTTGTGTGTGCCTACAAGTGCTGTTCTGGGGTTTGGCAAGATTAAAATCCTGGGAAATGTTTAGGCTGCTGTTGACATCTTTAAAAATTAGTTTTCCAGTCTCTGTATTATCAAGTAATGTGTTACATCAGGTGCAGTCCAGTACTATTTGTAGAGCTATATACTAGACTATAATGCTACTCGCTGTTAACAGCTTTCCTATCTTAGTTCTTTCCTTTTTTTTTCCCTAAAAGAATCTATTAGAATGACACGTAGGAAGGTATCTGCCAAAACATAATATTAAGTTCAAGCATAAGTAAGTATGTGAATACTGAAGCTTGCTCCCAAGTAACTTGATTGCAGCTCGTAGCCCCTGAAACTTATGTTGCTGCAAATAAAGCAGTACCACAGAAGTAGATACTGAAAACCTGAAGAACTGTCTTGTACAGAGTCTTGAGAAAACTGAGCAGAGATTAAATTCGTTTTTAAAATCTAATGTAGGAAAATAAGATATGCAGGAGAGCCGTGGAAATGTGCTAGCTGTTTTACGCAACCGTTGTACTTAACATCTTACTGAAACGTCAGAGTACAACCAGAATATCTAGAATAGTCAATGAAAGAAAGCCTAATGCCTGTGACAATTCCTCTTTTGTTTTTCAGGAGACTCTTCCTGCATCCAAAACCTCAGGAGTTTTATGTCTGCTTTCATGACTCAGTCACAGAAGTTGCTGTTGAACTGGCCTTTAAGCTGTCCTTTGGCTTAGCTACATAGATGAGCTTTCTGACTCTTCAGCAGTCCTGCATGGTGTTGGAATCTCTCCATAGTACTTACATATCAAGGGAAATTAACTGAATTGTGGTACCCGTTTATATAGCACATATTTGGAACGCTTTAAAAGAAGTAAATCTACCTTGTGGTATGACACAGGTGTAAAACTGAAGTGATGATTTATTATCTAATCGATTTAATATTAAAAAAGATTTCAGAGATCCAAATCCCTTATTTTTATACACTGTCAAATTGTTCATCCCGATTATATTTTTATTATATGAAAACTTCACCATAATTTGTACGTTCACTAGTGTTCACTGTACAACATTCAATGTAAAACGATAAGCTGATATGCTCCAAGTGCTCGCTGAATCTTTGGCAATCAGTGATGAAGGAAAAAATAAATTTTCCAGTTAATTAAAATTTGGTAGCTCTAAGGACACGAAAAATCCTGACTGTTTTCAGCAGCTTTGTGTTAATCAAACCAGAAAGAAATCTTTTAGCACATTAATGGCACTTAGCCATCTAAAGCTAATGGCTTATCATTTTTTTTCCCAGGGTGGTCTTCTGCACACTCAAGGGCTATAGCATGTTTGACGGCTTACTTGATTTCAAGTATATTGAGTTATATTGTAAATAATACTTGTATTTCTTATAACGCAGTGTTGAAGGCACAAAAGAAAATGTGTGGGAAAAAGACAGTAGTTGGTAGTTTTGTTTGAGACCTACGCATGGACTTGGCTACTTTTATATTATTCTCGTGATTTTATAATAAAGAAATATGAGTATTTGTCAAAGATCAGTAAAATATAACCTTAACTTTTATACTTATTTCCTCATTTGTTTATTCAAACAATATTTAGCTCAGTCTGCTATAATTTACAACTGGGGATATTAAAAAAAGAAAAGTTAGGCTATATCTGTATGAGGCCATAGAAGACAAAATGCTTGCAAAATCAAAAGTCTACCAAATTCAGCTTACCTGCAAATTGCTGAAAGGTTTTGTCATCTACAGATTAGCTGCTCCTAAAGCTTTTTTACTAGAGGTGTAGTGTACAATGTACAATTTTGGAACCTTTTGCCCCCCAACCAGCACATTTAGATATGGCCATCTGCACAGCATGTCATCACATCCATGTCAACAGTTTGACTGTTTTTTTTTTTTTTTGCTCCTTCTATGTGTTTTTCATGAGTGATTCTCATAAAGTGCATGACTAAAGATGCATTTTAAGAAATGGGATGAAAAAAGTATTTAGGAGAGTAAATTATGTTATTTCGGCTCTCATGATCAAATCCTGTAGATTCTGTTTTTACTAGTAAATTAAATCGTTTATAGGGTATTTCTAAATTAGTCAACCAAATGCCTGTAACTGTTAACTCTCACTGGGTCATTCCCAGCTTGGCTTTAATTAGTCAACAGTCGATTTAGTTTCAAGTGGTACAAGTCTTTGGCCTGAGGTGTAAGCACGTGCTAAAGGTTTTGTTAGATCAGTCTTCCCTGGCATTCCTCGTACCTTGATGACAATAATATTTCAGTTTGAAACATACAGAACTGAGTTTCTTAAATATAGTGTTTTGTATCTGAGGTCCTCATCTACAAATTGATGAAGTGATGTGAGGTTTACACTGCCTGAAAAATAAGGATATGTAATAGGATGGATGGATTTTTAAAAAATTTCTAAAATATGTAGTTTTGGAACATAGAAGGGTTTTTTGCAGCTGAAAGACGAAACATAGAAAAGAAAGCAGTCCTTGCTGCACTGTTTTTAGCAGATTTAACAGCTTTTACAGAACTTATGTGTGTGTTTGTGCACATAGGTGTGTATCTGTATTGAAGAGTATCATTTTGCAGATGTTTGTCTCTTGCTTCTATCTATTAAAGGTTGGGCTGTATGGTTTGACTCATAAGAGACTTTAAAAAAACAGCACGTCCAGACAGGTAGCTTCCATCTAAATTACTGTGCTTACTCAGACTGTTGGCTGACTTCAGTTCTTCAAAATTCTCCAGCAAATGGCACAGAGTCTCAACACGGAGACTTACGCTTAGTTTACCTTGTTAACTTACCAGAAGACTCTCCTCTTTTTTTCTTCTGCTAGGTTACTTTGCTGCCAGGGAAGTGGGTTAAACTCAGATGACTCGCTGTCGGGCCAAGCACATAACTAAGCCAATGCAGAAAAAATTGTGTGAACGTGTAGGTGTGTGCATGGAGAAAAGAGGAAGAACAGGAGGAGAGTGGGACTCATTCAGAAGTAGTCAGCTATTATTTAGATTGACTTGTTCCTTCACAAGAACTTCACAAGCACCTGGGTATGGCCAAAGACTCGGCCCTGAAGAGTGTGCACTTCAGACAGCGTTTTTATGCTCAAAGCAGTGTAGTACAGCAACAAAATGTGTTGCAAAATTAGCATTAACCTTGTTGATACTACACGTTAGGAGACTTTTATTGGTTATTTTGTCAGTCACCTGAGCGTAGATTAGATTTTGAAGATGTTAAAGAGCATATTTTAAAGAGTCCCAAAGGATGAAAGGATATATTTTCCTATAGAAGGCAGGTATCTTTGATACAAATCTTTTAGCTTTGTAACTTTCAGCAAGATTACAGCTGTGAATCATGGTGTATAGAGTTAATGCTAGAAGGAAAACTATGGAGAACAGCTACTAAGCTGAAACTTCAATGTTATGGCTCAAAAGAAATACATTTATTTTGCCTTTAAATGATTGCTTATAAAAATTAAAAAAGCAAGGGAAAGA